TTACTTCGATGAGACACTTTGTGGCCGTATCAAATACTGCGATGTGTGAAATTTGACGACAATCGGACTAGTACATCATATTTTATAAGAGTTGTAATTATTCAAAATTTTGACCCTCTGAGGTATTTGATGGACAGGACCGAAATTGTCCATTTTCGTACTTGACCTACCACTGATGCAAATATTAGGATTTGCAAAGTTGGAGCAAAATCACATTATAGTTTTTCTTTCTGTGCAGAAAATAAATTTTTTGAAAATATCGACCTTTTGTGGGGAGTTACCCGAAGAAGTGGACCGATATTGCCCATCTCGGATGCTCCCTTCGAGCTCGTTTTTTATTAAATTTACAATTGTAACAATATATAATAAAGGTCGAATTAAATATCTAAAAATCAAATAATAAATGTATTTTGTTTTTATACCCTACACCACAAGGTGGTCAGGGTATTATGTCTTTGTGCATTTGTTTGTAACAGGCAGAAGGAAACAAGATAGACCCATAGTTCCTTTTGATGATCTGCATAGAATCACATTCTGAGTCGATTTATGCATGTCCGTCCCTCCGTCCGTCTGTCCATCCGTCTGTCCATGTGTTTTTGTAAACAAAGTACAGGTCGCATATATTGACCGATCCAGATGAAATTTTGCAAAGATCTTTTGTTTGGCCCAAGGACGAACCCTATTGAAATTGGATATAATCGGTCAAAAATTAGATATAGCTCCCATATATATCTTCGTCCGATTTGCCTTTTATTGTGCACCAAACGTGTAATATCAGCCCGAATTTTATGGAATTTTGCATATACACCCAAATTAGGCCTGAAAATATGGATCCCAAATTTGATAGAAATCGGTTCAGATATAGCTATAGCTCCCATATATATTGTTCTTCCGATTTGTTATTTTTGTCCACCGCCGCCGTAATATGCACTCTGCAACAACAATATTTGGGGAAGTATATCAAATACAGCTCAGAAATACATTTGCTAAATTTTATCGAGATCGGTTCAGATGTGGATATAGCTCCCATATATAACTTCGTCCGATTTACTTTTATTGTACACCAAACGTCTAATATTTGTCCAAATGGAATGGAATTTGGCACTTACGACCGAATTGAGTGTAGAAGCTAGTGTGACAAATTTGGTGAAGATCGGTTCAGATATAGCTATAGCTTCCATATATATTATTCATCCGATTTGTTATATTTGTTACCCACAACCGTAATATGCACTCCGTAACAACGATATTCAGGGAAATATATCAAATACAGCTCAGAAATATCTTTGCCAAATTTTATCGAGATCGGTTCAGATTTGGATATAGCTCCCATATATATCTTTATCTATTATTTGAAATCTTTAAATATGCTTCGGCATATTTAGTCCTTTTAACTTTAATTTATAATTATCATAGCGTGTATGATTGAATTCTCCCATAAAAACGTTTAATTGTTGTGTGGAGCTCTACTAAATTAGCAAAGTGGTGTAGGGTATCATAAAGTCGGCCCCGCCTGACTTTAAGACTTTCTTTACTGTTTTTTTTTTTTTTTCAAAATGTTGGAGCTCTTGAATTTTGTAACAAAAAAATGTGTACGATATGATACTAAGATAATCTGCCTGACAATTTTTGTCCGTGCTTCCGCATGTCAAATAAAATGATTTCCACTGATAAAACATAAACATAATTCCATATAGGCCCAAGTTGAGGTTCATATACAATATATAGATACCTACCGATACTGACGATTAAGTGAAGGTGGAGCGTTTTTATGTGGAGAAAAATTGTTTTACTGCAATATTTCTAAAATCGGCTTATTTCCCTCAGTTTAAGTCTTGCCCATCTTATAACTTAAACTTCAATTAAAATTAAATTATCCATTTCTTTTAATACCATCCATTGCGGAAGTAAAATTCTACACAGACTTCTTAATGCCAATACCCGACAAAGTTGAACGTAACAACACTAAAAATATTCCCCACAACGAACCACAACTGTCAAATGTGACATTTAATACATCAGGATAAAATGCAAACAGGACTTGTATCAAAAACTGCAAATGCGTTAGAAGATTTCAACGACACGGTGACGTGACGTGACGTGACATGTAACATACGATAATTTCTTGCTTCTTTCTTTTTTACGATTTTCGAAAAGTTTACAAAGAAGTTTACACTTAACCGGAATGGGGGATGACACATTTCTTTGCCGGGGGTTGTGTTGATGACACTCGACCATCATTGGCATATAGCACATACCCACACACACACCAATATACGTGATGGCATTACTTATGCAGTTGATGGCGGCGACAAAGTTTTACACCGCCTAACACCTCAAAACATGAAATGTAGCTGTACAAGACTGTTTGTGTACTTTTATCCTTATTTGCTCTTAAAGAACTTGTGAAGTTTCCACTTCAGTTGTTGTTTGTGTTTTTGATGCTTGAAGTGGACTATGTCTCGTCTCGTCTTAAATGACCGACCATATTCCTGTTGATTTTTGTGTATAGCTTCTATTTCAGTTCATGTCCTGTCATTCTATCTATCCGTGTTGTTATCACTTCCGTTTTCACGTACAGCCATGTTCTTTCATTGGCAGACAACAATTACTACTTAGCTGCCAAGACATGTCATCGCCAATGCAACATAAGTGTGCTGCTCCCAAGGATTAAAGTGGCCATAAGGAGACACAACAAAAAAAAAATTGTTCAGCGAACTAACAAAAAGTCGAAACTTATATTAAGCAGGAGAACACAGTTTACAAGGATAGGTGTTTCGAAGGATTTCTTCAGAGTCAATTGCAATTAAAGAAAAAAAATAGTGAAATGAAAAGGCAACTCATCTTCTTTATTGAGAAAAGCATTTTCTGGAATATCCAGGGAGAGATGAAAAAACTGTGACTAACTTCAGACTGCTGTCATTTCCAAGCCACTCGACCGACATCTGTTTAAAATATTCCAGTGACAGCTCATTATATTGTTTATAAGCGTACAAATGCATATTGTTGAGAATTTTCCAGAAAAAAAGTTATTCGTAATTGGAATTCAAGTGAGATAGTGCGGTTTCTTTATATTTGGCTGGAAAACCACAAGTGGCTATCGTTAGAGCACTCCAGCATTTAACTGAGAATAAATCTCTTGTGTCTCGTACCATCGCTCGTTACCGTGATACTGGTAGCGTAGCCCGACGTCAAAGAAGAACAGCAACATCAGCAGAAATGGTTCGAAAAGTAAAGAAGCAACTTGATCGTCTGATCATGACCTGCGTCGCAGTGTCCGAAAAAAGGCTCGTGAGATAAATATGGAATATTGTGATATGTTTATCTCACGACTATCTCATTCGGCAAGTATTGTAAAATGAGCCGAAAGTGATTAACTGTCGAATTTGGCTTTCTCAGATGAGAAAACATTCGTTGGCCAAAGAGGTCAGCTGAAAATGTGCACCTTCGATTGGCCACCAGAACTCAAGCGCCGGCCAAGGCGATGGTGTGGGCCGCCATAACAGCCGATAGTCGCTCTCCGCTCGTATTAATCGACCATGGCATCAGAATAAATGCCGAATATTATTGCGAAGATATTCTGGAGGGTGTTTTAAAGCCTTGAGCACGCAAACATTTTGGCCGCAGGCCTTGGACATTCCAACAGGATTCAGCACCATCGCACTCAGCACGCGCCAACCAAGAATGGTTATAAAATGAGGTTCCTCGCTTCATTTCCAGCTCTCAATGGCCACCAAAATCTCCGAATACCAATCCGTTGGACTATTGTGTCTGGAGTATTTTGGAAAGCAAGGTTGGCACTAAAAAAATCCAAAGTGTCGATCACCTCATGCAAGCGCTTCGCCGGGAATGGGCCAAAATATCGCAGAGCAACATTCGGGCAGCGTGTGACGGTTTCATTGGCCGTTTTAAGGCTATAATTCGTGCCAAAGGTGACCAAATCGAACAAATGGAAACTTATTTTAAAATTTGATGCTATTTCCGACATTTTTTGCTTTCATTCAATTCAATTTAAAAAAAAAAAATGTAAAAATTATGGCTTTTGATTTTGTTGCAGTTTTTTTTATCTTACTCTGTATATAGAAGCTATATAAAAATCTGAACAGATATCAATAAAATTTGGCATAGGTATTTTCGAGCAGTGTCTGATGTCGGGTATTAAATATCTTTCTTGTGGAGTGCATATTACGCATGTGTGGGAATTTAACTCCAAATCGGGTGAAACATATATATGGGAGCTATAGCTATATCTGAACCGATGTTTACTAAAATTTGAACTGATTTTCTTCAAATTTGATTTTCGTTCTTCTAAACTGAATCCGTTCAGATGTGCCAAAACCCAGGTCATTTGAAATGATATTGGCCATTTGGTGCACAATTAAATTCGAACCGATTTTCACCAATTTCAATAGGCTTCGTCTTTGGGCCAAAACAAATATTGTTTGGAAATTTTCATCTCAATCGGACAATAAATGACCTTCATTTTGGTTACAAAAATACAGACGGACTGAGATGCATAAATCGACTCAGAATATGATTCTCTGCAGATCATCAAAAGGAACTATGCGTCTATCTCGCTTTCTTATCCATGTTACAAACAGATGCACAAAGTCATAATACCTATACAACTATGTGGTGTAGGGTATAAAAACCAATGGATATGAACGTTTTTTTTTTCTTCAATAGCTTTAAGGTAAAAATACCAGATCAGATAGGTACGACCTGATATTCTGGAAAATAATTAAATATATAAAAATTGTTAAGCTAGTAAACAATGAACTACAAAAGAGGTATATGTTTTTTTTCTGGTTGATATATATATTTTAATAATTGTTTTCCAAATATTGCTGGTTAAAGGTGTATGCCACATTATTTATATATGTATATAACTTATATTAAAAATGTTAAAAATTCTTTATCACTTCTCTTATATGTTCATTATATATCAATTCTCCAACATTTTATAACAATTTTTTCTTCCAACCTTTTTCCTCTTGCAGAAGATGCTGTCCATATCACAGCCATACTCGGTGAAGGTGTCATCTTCAATTGTCACGTTGAGTTCCCCAATGATCATCCAGTCCCGTACGTCCTACAGTGGGACAAGAAGGTGAGCGAAACGGTACGATATCACAAGATAATATTTCTTCTCTAAACTCTCTTTTTTAGTATTGTTAAAGCGTCAGTACAAGAAAACATAAACAGAACTATATATTAAAAAAAAAAAAAAAACGAAACAAAACAATAGTTTTGAAACATACAAAGCAAAATAAAAAAAAAATAAGATAACACCCCAACTTCCAAAACTCGCGTTCCCCCCATCACCTACCACGAAAGAAGTGTAACCAGGATTTAAAAAAAAAAGATAAAAAGAAAACGTTTGTGTTCCAAGGATTTTCAGGTGGAAATTTTCGAGAGATTTTCATAATTAATTGAGACATGTGTGTTACTAGTTAATTACAATAGTTAATATTAAGGGTATATTTTTATGTGACGATACGGAAGTGACTGCAAATGAAAAACACTATTTTAAATAAGTTTTTCATATTATTAATTTTTTTAAGTGATATCCAAAAATTGACAAAAAAAAAACGTTTTGGGATGAATATTTGGAGATTATTTCATGAAAATATCCATCGGGACTGTTTCTTAATTGATCACTAATATATTCGTCAATTTTGTCCTCTAATGTATTAATTGAGGCGGGCTCGTTGCAGAGACCTAAGCTTTAAGCATTAAATCGCACGATATAGACGGCCAATTGGCCGGTACCGAACATGAAATAAAAAGCACCAAACTCGCCTCGATAACGATAACGCTCACTATTAACAGTTACGATTCCCAGTATTTTTGAAGAAGTACGGTCCAATTATGCCACCTGCACATGAACCGCGCCAATCTGTGATTTTTATACCCTACACCACATAGTGGTATGGATATTATGTCTTTGTGCACTTGTTTGTAACATGGAGAAGGAAGCGAGATAGACCTATATTTACTGTTGAGATTCTTCATAGAATCACTTTCTGAGTCGATTTATGCATGTCAGTCCGTCCGTTCGACGGTCCATGTATTTTTTTTTTTTTTGAACAAAATGCAGGTAACGTTTATTATCTGATTAAAATGAATCTTTCCATTCAACATTTGTTTCGCCCAAGGACGAACCCTATTGAAATTGGTGAGAATCGGTGAAACTTTAAATATAGCTCCCATAGCTCCCATCTTCAGTCGATTATGGGTTAACTGTGCACCAAATGGCCAATATCTGTCCAAATGACCTGCATTTTAGTACATCCGACCGAATTTAGTCTGGAAGCAAGTACATCAATTTTTGAGAAAATCGTTTCAGATATAGCTATAGCTATCATATATATGTTTCCTCCGATTTGGGGTTTAAGTCCCTTACGAATGATATTTGATACCAGATAATTTATAGAGCTAATAAATGCCTCTTTCAAATTTTATCGAGATCGGATCAGATTTGGATATAGCTCCCACATATATCTTTATCCGATATCAGGTTTATTGTGCACCAAATGGCAAATATCGGCCTAAATGGACTGAATTTTGGCGGTTTCGACTGAATTCATTATAGAAACAAGTATTAAAAATTTGGAAAAAAAATCGGTTCAGATATATATATTAGTCCTCACATTCGTAATATGCACTTCACACGAATTATATTTGATACCAGACTACTTATGGAGCTCAAAAATGCCTCTGTCAAATTTTATGGAGATCGGATTACATTTGGATATAGCTCCCATACTTAAAATTTGGTGAAAACCAGTTCAGATATAGCTATGACTCCCATATACATTTTTTTCCGATTTGGTGTTAAAGTAATATGCGCTCCACAACAATGATATTTGATACCGGGCATCAGATACTTCTCCAGAAAACCCTTGTCAAATTTTATCGAGATCGGTTCAGATTTTTATGTAGCTTCGATATAAATCTTCATCCGATTTTACGGTGATTGCTCACCATACAGGGTTGCCCATATTCGACGGACCCATCTGGCAACGCCATAACTTTTGACAGAGATGTCACATCGCTTAATGACATACCGCGTTTGAAGCGTCAGTCATGGCTCGGTCCACTTTTTTTCGCATTGATTTGCAGTTGTTCCCGTACAAAATTCAATTGACGCAAAGTATGTTGCCTGCGGACAAGCCTCGTCGATTGGAATGGGCCCAAAGGTCCGTCGAATATGGGCAACCATGTAGAGCCTCTGTCAAATTTTATCGCGATCGGATCCGATTTGGATATAGCTCCCACATATATCTTTATCCGATATCAGGTTTATTGTGCACCAAATGGCAAATATCGGCCTAAATGGACTTGGCGGTTTCGACTGAATTCATAATAGAAACAAGTACTTAAAATTTGGAAAAAAATCTGTTCAGATATATATTTGGGGTTTATTCCTCACATTCGTAATATGCACTCCACACGAATTATATTTGATACCAGACTACTTATGGAGCTCAAAAATGCCTCTTTGGAGATCGGATCAGATTTGGATATAGCTCCGACATATATCCTTATCCGATATCAGGTTTATTGTACTCCAAATGGCTAATATCAGCTCAAATGGACTTAATTTTGGCATTTTCGATTGAATTCATCGTTGAAACAAGTACCATATACATGTTTTTTTCCCGATTTGGTGTTAAAGTCTCTCACATGCGTAATATGCACTCCACACGAATGATATTTGATACCAGATAATTTATGGACCTCAAAAATGCTTCTGTCAACTTTTATCGAGATCGGATCAGATTTGTATATAGCTCCCACATATCTCTTTATCCGATATCAGATTTATTGTGCACCAAATGGCAAATATCGGCCTAAATGGACTGAATTTTGGCTGTTTCGACTGAATTCATAATAGAAACAAGTACTTAAAATTTGGAAAAAAAATCGGTTCAGATATATATTTGGGGTTTAGTCCTCACATTCGTAATATGCACTCCACACGAATTATATTTGATACCAGACTACTTATGGGGCTCAAAAATGCCTCTGTCAAATTTTATCGAGATCGGATCAGGTTTGGATATAGCTCCCACATATCTCTTTATCCGATATCAGATTTATTGTGCACCAAATGGCAAATATCAGCTCAAATGGACTGAATTTTGGCACTTTCGATTTAATTCATCGTTGAAACAAGTACTTAAAATTTGGTGAAAACCAGTTCAGATATAGCTATAGCTCCCATATATATGTTTCATCCAGTGTGGGGTTTAGTCCCTCACATTCGTAATATGCACTCCACCCGAATAATATTTGATACTAGACAACTTATGGAGCTAAAAATGCCTCTGTCACATTTTCTCGAGATCGGATCAGATTTGGATATAACTCCCACATATATCTTTATCCGATATCAGGTTTATTGTGCACCAAATGGATGGACTACATTTTCGCGGTTTCGACTGAATTCATAATAGAAACAAGTACTTAAAATTTTGGAAAATATCGGTTCAGATATAGCTATAGCTCCCATATATATGTTTTATCCAATTTGGGGTTTAGTCCCTCACATTCGTAATATGCACTCCACACGAATGATATTTGATACCAAAAAAATTTTGTCAAATTTTATCGAGATGGGATCAGATTTAGATATAGCTCCCAAATATTTATCCGATATCAGGTTTATTGTGCACCAAATGGCAAATATTGGCCCAAATGGACCGAATTTTGGCAGTTTAGAATAGTTATACCTATAGCTTATATGTTTTATCCGATTTGGTGTTAAAGTCCCTCACATGCGTAATATGCACTCCACAACAATGATATTTGATACCGGGCATCAGATACTGCTCCAAAATACCCTTGTCAAATTTTATCGAGATCGGTTCAGATTTTTATGTAGCTTCGATATACATCTTTATACGATTTTACGGTGACTGTTCACCATATGTGTCCCTAAATTAAATAGATTTTTTCATATTCAAACTAATTTTACCTTTTGGTGAATTTCGGTCCTGTATATCTGTAGCATATGCAGCAATATTATTTGGTTCATAGTTGGTATGATCTACTTTACATAAATTCTCAATATAAACTGTCTTTGTTACGGGAGCTCGACTAAATAGGCATGGGGTTGTAGGGTATCATATTGTCGGCCAGCCTGACTTTTGACTTTTCCTTACTGGTTTAATTTTAGGAAGTCTTCTGCAAGTCATGTTTTCAAAAGATATACAATAGCTGTTAGAGTCACCCATTTGCCTAACCTCTGAGAGATAACGAAGCGTATTTTGTACCATCTAAAGTTCAGAAGCCTTCCACTACTTCAGCATCCCTCTACTACTTGTTCCGCCAAGAACCTACATAACAAGGTGGGCTGAGACCAATTAGAGACTTCATAAGAATGTCTACTACTTCTTAGCAAATATCGTCGATACATTCCCATCTTTTCCAATGTACTGCTAATTGAAATATCTACTGCGTATTACAGTAACTCCAGTTTTTATGTCTCCTTAAATTAGTTAAATATTAACAATCTTTTCCAAAGACGCCTACGGACTAGTAACACCCACTGCAAAATTAAGAAGAAGAAAAAGTTTTCCCACAAAAATAAGGGTCGTTTTTCTTTGGAACTCACCCACATGAAAACAAATCCATCTTGGTAACACAACGGAACACAAACGTTTATGATGCACTTGTATCGCAAAAAGAAAAACTCCTACATTTAATTTTCATTTCAAAACCCAGATACTGCCGTGAGTATTTGAGAAAAAACAACAAAAAACTATTTACTACTGAAAACAAGTTAAGAAATTATTATTTGTTTTTCAAAAAAAAAAAAAAAAAAAAAAAAATCACGTTTGCCTTGAATTGGTTGTAGAGTAATTTTGAAATATTTAAAACAAAAATAACAAAACGTTTTTTTTATGTTGCTTTTTCAATTGGTTGTAGTTGTGAAAAAAAAAAAATGTTTTAAATTATTAGATGCCTTGAATTTGCGAAAAAAAATAAAACAATAAGTAAATATTGGCTGTGTAAAAATTTGTTGTTATACAAAAAAAATACGATTTTTTATTTTTTATAATTTCCCCCCAAAAAAGAAACTAATGCCAAAATAACACTTTATTTTAGTTGATT